GAATCAACAATCAATATCAATCAATGAGACAGGATGATGTGGTATGATGTAGACGCTTGAAAAGCTCCCCATAGGGAGATGTTTGGCCATCCAGGTAGGAGGTTCGTTTTCATCGACGATCTACATAGGTGTCATCATGGTCACAGACTTGTCGCAACAGCCTTGTCTGGACGGCGGCGTTCGATCTGTGAGGCGCTGGATTTGGAGCCGCCCAACGAGAGACTCTTGGGTCGCGTTGGGCAGCACATCGGGATTCCTGTGGCCGCCCTGCGTCCCTCCGCTGCGCCTCCAGTCACCGACTTGGTAGCTGAAGACCGCCCAGAAAGCACGGAGGACGAAGGCTCCGAGGAGAAGAAGGATGGCTTGGAAGAAAGTCATGGCTCGCTTGAGAAAGTGGTGATCGAGCCAACTGAAGCCTTCTGAGATACGGTACGAGGACATGGGCTCCTCATCACTCTTTCTAGTGAGAGTGATAGGAGTGAGCCGGAGTGAGCTGACTTGTTTGGGAAACGACAATAGTGATTCCCAGGTTCATACAACTTTATGATGTTTGGCCGGTTTAGCATCCAAAATTTAAACGTGCAAATATATACGCAAATCGGGTTGCAAGTGTACTGACAATGTTAGTTTGTTCATCCTGCTCTTTATGTTCTTTGCGTATGGATGACGGACAAAGGGAAGGAATCACTATTGATCGATTGATGTGATCCAAGATCAAGACGGGTTTTAGACGAATACTGAATCATATTGAGGTTTTAAGTCAACAACAGCTGTGAAGCCACTGCGAAGCGAGATTTGTCTCTCTGACTTTGAGAAGAAAGCATCAGGACCTTGGAACACATTCCTCACGAGTCAATCCATCGAAAGGTGGAGACACCAGGCACCGATTGCCGTGACTCTGTAAAACGGCCCTCCCGTCAATTCCACTCCCAGCATGGTTTCAGTCCACTTCCCCTGTACTATATACTGCGGATGAACCAGGAAGCGGGACTGAACAGCCCACTCGATTTGCGTGGTTTGACCTGTAATTGATTGAGTCTCCCTGTATAGAAATAATCAAATCAGTTCAGTTCATCAACAATGTGTTTTCATTTGTTGTTGGAAAGGGAGTGGTGCTTCATTGAGCCCTTTTTTCGGAATGAGAGATCGAGAGACATCTACAATATGTTGGAATATTTGTGCCCAAGTTCGTCTCTCCACAACATCAGATCTGCATTGGCTTGACATCCACAGGACAGTTTTCACTGTAAATCACCAACTGCTGGACAACAGTTTGTCCCAAGTTGTGTTCCAGTTAGTTGCTGATGCTGATCATGATGAACATGTTGCTCCAATAGATGTGCGGAAGATGTCGCAAGCTTTGAAGCACTTTTGCAGACCTTTTCGGCTCTATCCAACAAAAGCTAGCTTATACGGCGTAACGGGCCTCTCTTTGTTGCAGATGCAGCGCACATTCTCGCCATTGATTCAGGCACGGTTCAAAGGGTTCAAGGATGTCCAAGGATCAAGTTTTTGGGATCCAAGGATTCAGAATCAACAATCAATATCAATCAATGAGACAGGATGATGTGGTATGA